AAACTAGGATACATTCGAATGTTTGGCATTCGATATATTCCACTCTTGAAAGGAAATTTGGAAGCAATCATAATGATTGTACATGCCATGGTCCACAACCGAGATAAGAAGGAAAGAAGTTTTGGATGCTTCTGCTTGTGTACGTGGATGATTTGATGATTGCTTGCAAGAGTGGTGACGCAGCGCTGAATTGAAGATCAAGGTCACAGGTCTTTTTGTCGAGAAATAAGAAGATCGATTTCCTTGGAAGAGTGATTCAGAAGATTGAGTATGGGCTGCTGCTTGGCCTCCCGGAGGGCTACTTCAGCGCAGTCCATGAGTACCGGATAAAGCGGGGTACCTCCACGCCGCCAGAACTTCGGAAGGTGCTAGACGACGCTTTTGGCAAGCCTGAGTGCCAGAAGCCACTTTCGGCTGAGGCCTCAAGGTACCGCTCGGCGGTCGGCAAAATCAGTTGGGCAGGTCAAACCAGAGTCGACCTCACCTATTTCATCAGTGTCTTGAGCAGAGACCAATCGACGCCTCTCGATGTGCATGAAACTTGCCTACGTGCTTTCCTCCGATACTTGATGTCGGTTGACCACCTAAAGCAGTTGCTGGGAGGAGAGAGGAGTGCGTTGGTCGGGTTGAAGCTGGGTTTCCAAACACAGGTATGAACATTACGAAGACGGAGTTGTTCAAACCCAGGTTTGAACCTGGATTCGGAATCCAGGTCCGAAACCAGGTTGAACCGGGTTGAACATCAGGTTCAAACTAGGTTTTAACCTGGATTCAACTGGGTTGGAACCTGGGTTGGACCTAGGTTGGAATCTGGGTTGGAACCTGGGTTGGAATCCAGTTGAAGCGTACGTCGGTCCGAACCTGGACCCTCGAACGGAATAACGATCGGAGGTTTCTGTCGGAATGTGTCATCCTCGTCGATCGCCTACCCCATCAAAGTCTTCACCCCTCAGCAGTCTTCGGTGGCAATGAGCCCAGCCGAGACGGAGCTAATTACAGCTAATTGCAATCACTGAGGGTGCAAAGAAGGCCGTTGGTGTTGTTGCATTGGTGCAGCAAATCTACGGACCGTTCTGGAACAACAACGAGCCACCCGCGATCTACTCTGACTCGCAAGCAGCCATCAACGTAGAATCCATGCATAGGTTGCTTCGTCGTGTAAGACATGTAGATTTGCGCGTTTGGACCCAGGCGGCCATTCAGGAAAGTTGATTTCTTTGACCTGGGTTCGGGGAACCGAGAACCCAGCTGACGTCTTCACGAAGGCTTTGTCGAAGCCTCAGATCCACTACGAGAGACTTGGGATTGTTGAGCATTCCCCTAGGCAGTCTCTGTTGCTAGAGGACCTTGATTTTGATCGGTTTGTGTTGTGCAGCATGCTTGGAAGAGTTTTGGCTGAGTCCGTGCTTGAGCGACTGTCGCGAGCTTGACGAGGTGAACGTTGAGAAGAACCGCTGGGTTGTGGTTGAGTTCTGTACTTCGGTGAACTCCGGTATGAAGGTTGCTGCCGAAGCCTTCAAGAACTTGAGGGTTGTTTTTGTCACCGAGAAAGAGAACGGACTGAGCGATGAGACCATCGCCGTGCTGAGGTGCTTCGTTGTGCGCACGGTTGATCATGGGGTTCGCGTGCTTGTGTGGAGCTCAACTCCCTGCGCTGGGAGCTGCCTCTACCAGAACCTCCACAAAGGCCGCCAAGGACACGAGGCAAGGATCTGCAAGCTTTGGGGCGTCCAGAGGAAACTCTGTAAGAATCTAAACATCCTGCCCTACTTTTCTGTTGAGTGGCCTAAGACCTGCCAGTACTGGAACTGGCAAGACGTGAAAAAGACCCTCAGCAGCCGAAGTGTTCAGCAGCTTGGTTGACGGTTGTGCCGTTGGCATGGTTGGATCGGACGGGCATCTTGTCCGCAAGCGCTGGAGGGTTGACTGTGACTACAAGCCACTTGCGTTGAGCCTCGATGCCATCCGTCGTACCCAAGACCATGTGCATTCCGAATCTTTTGACTTGCGTCAGACGCAGCACTACCCGTTGGGCATGTGCTGCATTGTGTTGCGATCCTTGAAGTGAGCCCAAACCACCAGGATCTCAGTTCTTTGTTTCAACTTCAACTGCAGCCGCGCAGCCGCGCAGCCTCGCAGCCACTGCCTCTCGAAAGGTTTTGGCCAGAGTTTTTCTCACCTTCTGCGCTTTTCCAATGGACGAGCTCCTTTGGCTTCTTGTTGCCGTGATGGCAGCCGCCGCTGCGGTTTCCAGCTTCCTTACTTGGTTGATCACTTTGTGCGTGGCTGTTCCGAGACGGACGGCCAAAGCTAGGGTGCCAGTGGTTGTTGAGGACAGTGAGTCAGAGGGGGAACTCCCCACCGAACTACCGACCTCACCGCCTTCTATACCACTTTGAACGTTGACAGCAAGTTTTACGTCTCTTCAGCAAGACTCTACACCTCTTTCCCAGCTGCCCAGGGCGCAATGCCCGTTTGAAGACGTATCGAGTGTGCATCAACTGCATCAATCGCCTGACGGCATCCTCGACCGCTACTACCAAGCAAACTCCAAGAGGGGGTAAAGGATTTCGACACCGTGGTTGAGCATGGTTGTTGGATGGAGCTCGCTTGCCGCCTAACTTGAGTTTTTGCTTGTCTCGTTTTGCGCAAGTGTTGACACCAAAGCAATCGCAGCAGGAGAAAGTGTTTCAAGCGCATGTTGCATGATTTGATTTGGCATGAGTTTGTTTTCATGTTTTCATGAGTGACTGAAGTGCTCTGAAGTGCAGTGGTACGTTTAAGATGTGCCTGACTGCTCAAGTGAAGCCTTGAAGTTCGCCACTTAGAGTTTCGAGCTCAGCTTTGCTTCGCAGCCTTAGTGTTTGTGCAGGTCAAGCAGTAGAGAAAGCTTCCAGCTTGACAGAGGAAGGTTGTGACTGACGGCGAACTGTCTTGGCTCAAGGCGGAGTGAAAAAGAAGTCCGAGTGTGTGACTCGCAAGAAACACGACACGAGGGTGGTCCGTTGTCCGACGGGACTAGAACCGCCACCGGAGACCTGGATTTGGCTCCACTCGCTGTCGTGGGTGGCTTTGGATGCCGATCCACTGTCGTCTCTGCTGAGGCGCTGAGCGAGGCCCCTTTTAGTTGCTGAACAGCACTGCTGACGAAGTCCGCACGCTGCAGCTGGTACGTAGTCTCGTTCGCTTGCTATCCCGTTTCACGGCTGTTTTCTTGTGTTGTCGCCCTCCGAACTTCCACCCCAAGGAAACTCAAACAAAACGTCTCACGAACACAAAAAGAAGAAGCCACACGAAATCACTCGTAGGGGACGAGCCACACGCGTCTCTCGCGTCCGCTTGTGGCTTTGGACGCTCTTTGGACTCTGCTGGCCGGCAAGAATGGTGAATGGTGGACGTCGTTTTCACTCGCACGATCTTGCTAAAAAACAGAACTCGAGCAACATTGCACTTCTGTTGTCAAGAAAGTCTTCCTTCCATGCGCGCTCAAAGAGCCATGAACACAAAAGACGCTGTTTGTGATCGCTTGGCTTGGCTGGTGATTTGGCGACAGTCTGTCAAGAGGCCACTCTCCGACAAGAGATTCCTGTTGACACGAAAACCGGAGATGAACCAACTTGTGTTGCGGATTCCATAAAACACGGATCTTCGAGTCTGTCAAAACTCAGTGGATTGCATTTGCCCAAGCAGACTGAATTTGTTTATGCGTTTGTGGATTTGGAAATAAGCGACCACATCACTTGTGATTTTCACCTTGCTTCCACAACCGATGTCTAGTTGGACAAATGGTTGAGCATGAACAAATCTGTCGGAGTGTTTGGGCGGAGACATGTGCATTCATGAAACATGTTTCAGTTCCGTGCGCACCTGCATATTCAAGCACACGCCCGCCCTGGGGGAAGTTCGGGTGCACATACACATGTGTGGAAAGGAGCTTTGGAAGCTTGATCTTGGGCCGAACTGCTTTGACAAACCTGTTCGATTATCCCCAAGGCACTTCGAGCTTATCCGTTAAAAAGAGAGAGGGGTGGTCCGAGTACAGTCATGTCCTTCTTGATTGAGCAAGTCATATGAAGTATGTATTGGATCTCCCCCCTTGTCCAAATTTCAGGCGCTGATTTGTTTTCAACAACAACATCAAAACCCCTTTCCCTTCCGTGGCATTCGAGATTGGGCGTCTGCCGTCTCAGTTTTGCCGTGCGACTTGCTCTCAGAAGCTTGGCCCAGGAAGTGTAGCGATGAGTCCCTTCAGTTTCTACATGTCACCCTGACACCACCGTCGTCCTTCGCTTCTGCTTTTCGACTTCCTGCCGACACTCGACTTTGGGCCGCAGGGACGTGGCGTTGGCCAGTGTCCGGACATAACAACAGAATCTGGTGCATAGATCCTGCTTGGTGTCTTGTGTTTCAGGTTCCCCTAACAGGTTCCGTTGTGCCATCGTAAATGTCGGGTTGGTGGGATTTTGGCGCCAGACATCTCTTGATGGACCTTCCGTGCTTCTGTAATGCTGCCACGGCCTGGAGCCTTATCTCTCTGGTAGTTGGCGAACTCGTTGCTGTCCACAGCTCCGGCAGTGGCCAGTGTTACACGGTGCCGTCGTCGGCTTTTCGTGCTTGCCATTTCGGTGTTTGTTTCCGGCCTGGGTGAAGGATGGCTTCACGTCGGATTAACAGCAAGGGTTTGCCGATATCGATGCATCCCAAACTCGGTCAGGGTTCAGTGGTTGTCTTTGCCGCAAAGCCGATCTGGTCCTGTCGTTCATTTTTCCATCTCGTGGTCCATTGTCATTGCTGCGACAACGGCTGCAAGAGTGGCTGGCACACGCTCGCTGCAAATCCGCATCGCCACAAACTAATGTGCTGACAGACCGGAGTTTGGGTTCACAGCCGATTGCAGTCCTGATCAATTGGACGGCGGCAAGGTGTCAGTTTGAGTTGTGTGCTGGGCAGGCGAGTGGCAACTACTAAGAGGTGATGTGCTTTTTGTTACAGGCGCACTGATGAGCTTTTGGGGGTGCGGAGCTCAAATCCGCACATCCCTGCGGTTCGTTGGGCTGACCCTTCGGTGCTGATGCCCAGGTGTCAGCTGAAGCCAGGCGCGAAGTTCGAAGTGAAGGCCCCCAAGCTGATGGTGGCCATGCGCAACACACTTGACATTGTCTGCTCCTTCTCTGTTTGCTTAATTCCCAACCGAAACAAGTCCTGCATCCTCTTGCCGGTTGCTGCATAGGCAGAAGAAGGAGGAGATGTCTTACATTTATCGCAGGCTGCCGGGAGTTTGCATCTGGGTTTGAGTTGTCTACTCGCTTTGGCTTCTGCATGCTCGACAGTAGCACATCATTGCGTGGACATCGGCATGTCTGTCTTGGCGTTCGTGCTCTAGAAGCTATTGGACAGATCCTGGAGCAGTTTGTTTCAAGCAGTACACCCTGTAACCTGCCGATTTGTGCGCCTTGAAGGCATGTCTGCACCAGCCAACAGCTGGGAAGAACTTCCTGCAGGCTTTAGCCGTTTGGGTTTAGAGTCTTAGAGGTCCGACGCAGCGCTCGTGCAAGTGCAGCGAGCAAAGGATGAGGGAGCACCGTCACCCCAGTGGTTTTGCAATCATGGAGGGCGTTGTGCAGCTGATTCGCTGGAATCCAGGATCCTGTGGCACAGATGCATATGCGCGTTCAGGTTGTGGACGGCGCAAAGTCCTATTCTATAGCTTGCCTGCAGAAGGACGGGCGGGCGCGATCCGTGTATCAGTAACTAGATTACCATGGTCACTTTATGGGGTTTGTCCTGGCCATTCTCTGGCATGCTTACGCCGTGCTGCCAGGACAAGAGCGAATATGCTTCCTTCGATCTCTTCTTCCGCACTGGAACGCGCGGCACGGAGCTTCGGTGTTGTGTGGCAGGTACCGTTGGTTTTGACTTTGTGCAGGTGCTCCTTCCACAACAAGGGCAGTAGCGAGATGCACCTGACCGGTTACTTTGAACCGGACGGGACCTCAGGGCTTGGGCTGCAGAGCCGCTGATGTCCGGGGGCCTCTTGCCTCTTGCCGAGATGCGTTCTGTCATGGTGCCAAGGATGGTATGCCAGATGACGATGAGGAGGAGGAAGAAGAGGAGGAGGAGGATGAAGAGGAGGCAAAGGGCTCAGCGTTGTACTTGTTTCCGGCATGCCAGCTGTCGGATCCTCTGACGCTTGGCCTTGCTTGGATAGATATTCGTGGATACAGCTCCCCGCTCCCTGCTATGGACTGTAGCTGTGTCGACCTGGCGCTGATCACCACGCAAGACTATCCATTTTCTCCCAATGACAGGAGCCTCCACCGAAGAAGCTGAAGAAGAAGTGAGTGCCAACGTGCCACTTCAAGCTCGCAGACTGAGGCCTTCCGTGCAGGCACCAGGCAGTCCCCAGACTAAGCAGTTGCCGTGGCTTCGTTGGCTTCAGTCTCTTATTTTCGGCAGTGACGCCGCGGTGCGTCCGTCGGAGATCATTTCACCCAGTAGCTTGAGGGGAGACTCATGTCAGGGAACATTTGACTCCACAATAAGATCTTTCGCCATGACGCTGCTCGTTTGCGCAAGTCTTGATGCCAGCAGCCGAAGCAGAAGCGTGGTCGCATGAGCCGAATGACGAACTCTGGGTGCCTGTCGGATCAAGCTGCGCCTGGAGCAAGCTCCTGAAATCGCCGCTTCTTGGACCGAATGTGCTGAGTCAAACTGAGCCGTGATACGTCGTCCTGGATTCGTTGATTCTTTTGAGGCAGTGCGGGCGACTGGGGGCTTGGCAGTATGGGCTGCGGGACGAGCACTCCGCAGGAGCGGTGTGAGGTGTCATCAAAGCCGATCGCATAGCTGCGTGTCACTACTCCGAGAAAGCTACCGTTGAACTCGGCTAGGGCTTGGAATGGCAATCGAAGGACATCAAGCCCGTGGCCGAGCCCGAAGAGAAGGAGGAGGACACCTTGCTGGAGAAAACCGACACTCCAGGGAGGCGGAGTTCCTGCAAGGAGCCCGAAACTTGGGCATCCAAGCCCTCCCAGGCCAAAGCGCGAGATCGGAGATCCGAGATCCGAGCAGAGCGTTTTTCTTCGTTTTGCTTTGCAGGCGGACAGGCCGAGGCCGGCAGTCTCGACGGCTGCTGCGAAGGTGCGGGTGTGCGGGTGCTGACGCGGGTGCCGACGCGGGTGCTTTGGGTTCGATTGCCGCGAGCTTTTCTTCGCAGGATCCCGGTGGAAATGCCGAGATCCCAGACTCTGAGACTCTACGTCTTGTGTTGCAGGCAGGGCGCTGCTTTCAATTAGTCGCCTGAGGCTTCGACCGTCGAGGCTGCGACCGGTTCAGGCACATTTTGAGACTGGCTCTGGTATGAGAGGAGAAGCAGTCTTTAGCGTGGTGCGCAGTCGGCGGAGTCGTATTACTTGCTTTGAGGTTCCCTGCACAAGCCGGTGGAGTGTCTCTCTCGGCAATTGAAACCGCATTCTGACTTTGGGACATGCGCGACAATGATTCCACTTCTCGCTGCGAGGCACAGTGTCATGGTGATGGATCCCGATGACGATGTCGAGGTCATCTACGAGGCGCTTGAGCTTCGTGGGGCAAGAGTTCTGGTTCGATTCTGCTCTGGCGAGGGTAAGGGAACCTCCACTGCGAGAGACGTGCTGGAAACGCGCGAGATAGAGGCCGAGGCCAGCTTTTTGTAGCATCATTGTTCATCCGTAAGCATGGTGAGGGTCCTACAACTGCAAGTAAGATGCCGGTGACGGCGTGGATCCTGAGTGGGCACCGGAAGGACGGCCAGACCGACATAGATTTGGCCCTTGACGCCATAACCGCCGCAGAGCTGCCGATATTGTGGGATCTAAACCTGGTCGAACGCATAGTGGCAGCACTGCAGCGCTGATCAGCCCGAGCGGTGACTGTTGTGGTCGGCAGCGATGCTATCCCGGAGATAACTAGTGAGAGTGTTGTACTAGGTCTACCAGGTTCACTGTAGCGACATCCATGAGAGCAGCCAGGAAGACGAGCCAAAGCCTGTCCTCTCGAAGCAGCAGCAAGAGGAGGTCAATCCGTTGTCGGTGTTGCCACAGCTCATGACAGATCTTTCCAGCATTCCTCGCCCTTCGCAGCTTTCATGAGTTTTCGCTCACAGCTGAAAGACATCCTGAGTTTGTAGCGGCATCGTTGTATCCAAAGGCTGTGTGAGCGCATGCCATGGATGCAGGCGGCTAAGATGGCCGAGCATCGGAAGCGGTTCGACAACCAACGGCGCGGAACCCAAGAGACCTCAGGGTGTCAAGAGTGTACTGAGTGTACTGTTGGCAGAGATCATTTGGTATGAGATTGATTCAGCAGCGGCTACCATGGTATTTGTTTCCCAAGACTCATGCACTGCCCTTCAGCATGAGTCAATGAGGGGAGGCGGAACATGGCGGAACTGCTCGTTTGCATCAGGTTCCTGTTCGCAGTGGGTTGGTGCACAGTGCAGCTCATAAGCGTGTAATTCTCGGACAAGTGAGAGTGCTGTGCCAATCTGTGCCAGATTCGTTAGTGGAGACAGCATCTTGCTCGAGGCAATTCACCAAGCCAAACCAAGATCGCATCAGCTCGTGTCAATGATTTGGTTCCATGTCAATGTCCTGGGAGCGACCCTACAACTCAGATCAGACCTCCACCGATAGGCAGGAGAGGTCCAGGTAATGTGGGAAACCCAACGACATAAAAGCAATGGGTTCGTGTCCTGATATGCGGTGCAAGTTTGTGTTGCTTCTTAGGCACCTTTCTCTGAGCGTCACAAAGGTTTCATGTACGCCATCCCAAGTCCACATGCGGGCTCACGGCACCGCGGCCACGCTCCACCCAGCCATCGTGCCCAGGTACCAAAGAGGCCAGTCCGGTTCTGGTGACACAGGCCTGGCCCGGCCTGCCTTGCTGGAGAGAGGATTCGGATCTGCTGCACGGTGATTCGGGATAGGTTGCTTTTTTCACAGGTGTGCTTAGCAATAGTTGCGAGCATCGCCAGTGCGGCTGACAAGGTCCCGGGGCTGCGCCGGTGCCGGCGATTTCCCTTGGAAACCAGGCAGAAGCAAAGGGTGTAGGCGCTTAGGTACAAGAAAGCAGGCAAACAGACAAACCTGCAAAGTGTGGTGCGTCAGGAGACCAAAGCACCCCACGAGATCATGGGCATGGGTCTCAGGAAACGGGCTGCAGCATGGGCTTGCCCGCTTTCTCACAAACCTGTCAGGGTTGGCACTCTGCAATTTGCCCAGGTGTCAATGCCTCTGCCGCCCTCACCCCGAGACAGGTACGATGCCCAGTGACTGTGATAGCAAAAGCTGCAACGGTCCTTATCAATGGCCGCCGGCTGCAAGCGAGAAAGCTAGTTCCGGCCTTCCCCTTCAGCGTCGAATCCCGACAAGAACGGAACCTCCAAACCTCTCTCTCTCTCTCTCTCTCTCTCTCCCTCTCTCTCTCACTTGCAAGCAGTAGTACCCGTAGTCTGCGAGGCCTCACACACCCTTGAGACTGCTGTTGCAACGATCGCTGTGCGGTTTCACCTGCGGCATCGACAATTTGTCAGTCGTTGAATCAGAGGGAGCTGTCAAAAGTGTTTGTCGTCGAAGCGACTGCGGAAGTGATTGAGCCGGTGCTTGTCGCGGGCGAAGAGAGTCACGCAGTCTGTTCTCACCACGGTTCCTTTTGCACTTTTGCAATTGACTGCTCTGGCTTGCCCGAGGCAAGTCTGGAGGAGTGCCTTCCGGGTGGGATCCTCGATGATCTGCCTGGCGAGCAGGTTTGGCACGATGTCGAGCCAGAGCGAGAGAGAGCGAGAGAGCGAGGGGTAGTGCGGCAGAGAGGAAGAGGGGATTCGGGAGGTTTCGGAACGCAGTCCGTCAGGTGGTAGTTTTTGCCTTGGTTGTCTTTGACTCTTGTTGAGATGGTCGGTGGTGGCAGTGTGGGGTGTGTGGGAGTAGCTGTCGCGGACGGCAGTTGTCGTCATCTGCCGAGACATGTGATCAAGAGGCAGCTCGAAGACAGTTTGAGCAGAAGCCTGTCAGACTTGCCAGATGTCGTTTTTTGCTTGGCAGACTGTCGCACCTCCTCGTGCCCATCGGAACAATCACTTTGACGATGACGACGAGATGCTGATGAAGGATGCTAAGACTAGGGTAGGTGAAAGCTGTGGCCGCATGTCCTGAGCCATGTTGCATCTTCAGGAGATTCTCGACAGCATCGACGGCTAATAAGAATATGAGCTTGCATTGCCCCTTTGATGAGTGAATGCCCTGTATTTGTTGAATTGGCATGCCGGTGTGGCAGTTTTTTCGTCGAGAGTGTTGGCAAGTGCCATGTTCGTGTGACTGTCAATGTATGGCCCATGAGCCGTACTTGTGCCTTTAACTTACACCGATTCAAGCCGTGCCACACGCGCTGCACCTCACGTGTCACAACTCGCTGGGAGCGGGCTTTGGCCGCAAAGCAGGCGGCATTCCCTTCGGTGCGACTGCAGATTCCAAAACAAATTCTTGCAGAAGGGGAAGCTAGGCCGGCTAGGGCTGCAGGCCAGGAAGGGGAGGCGGCCAAGGCGGCCCAATCGAAGACGGACTTCGTCTCACATCGCCGGCATGACGTTTTGTTTGTGGGAGGTTGTCATGACACATCGCCTCTCACCATGCGCAGTGTGCCCTGTTCGTCGGACGATGTGGTTCTCAGACGGCTAGCCCGCCCTTGTTCTCACCACGGCTCATGCTAGTGTACAGAATCCGAATTCCCCGCACAGTTTTATTCGCTCCTGGCTTGATCGGTCACGCCAGGGTTTTTCACGTCGACTGTGTACCGGAGGTATAGACGAGGCAGGCAGCATCTTGGAGCTCAAGCTCTGTAGGGTAACCGGTACTCGTAACTACTCTTCTAGACGACGGCCTTTCTGTCTGGGATGCTGCTGCTTTCTCGACGGTTTCACATCCGATAGTTCAGAGCCTCTCAAGGAGGAACAAGACTAAGATGCTTTGTTTTGAGACGGTTACAACTCGGACTTGCAATCACTGCTCGAGGCCTGACTGTGATGGCAAGCCGTCAGCCGCCTTCCGTTTCAGACCTTTCTGAGAAGTAGACTCAAACCCTGCTCAAGATCTGAGAAGCCTCGAAAGCTTCTCGAAAGCATCCAGCCAAGGCCCGCCCTGTCTCTCCCCCGCGAGATTTCACGAGAATGTGCAGCCGTAGCGATGGCCTCCAGCGGGCTCTGGGGCTTGCAAAGACATGAGGCGCCTTGGAGCTGTGAGAGCTCGGCTAAACCGGAGCCACGCGCAAGTCTTCAGATCTCTGTCAGCCGAGCTCGAGGTCTTGGAACAGCTACAGGAGGATGTGGAGCTCTTGGAACTAGAGGACGCAGAGAGCGACGGTACACAGAGATAGATAGACAGAGGTAAAGAATGGGGCGGGCGACTGGGAGTGAAGGCAGTCAACGTTGACGCAGCTTCACTTTGAGTCTACAGCTAGCTGGACAAGATGCCCCGCACGAAAAGGGGCAACAGGTTCAGAATTGATGCATGTTTCTCATCGCGAGTGCACGAAAGATGAGCCCGGGGTTCAGGATTGGGTGGGGGTAGCTACCGCAGGGCACAGGACTGAAGGCGAGAGCCAGGTCACGGCAAAGCGCGACCGACACTTTCAACTAGGATTTCAACACAACATAGCAGGTCATGGCTCTCTTCCCCAGAAACAAGGTTAAAACAAACGGTACTACTAGTGAAGGCTTTGGACATCTCCTCTCATCTGACATGTGCCGTGGTGACTCGGCAATCCCTTGGGCCGGCATGGAATGCTTGGTCGAAGAGTGCTCCGGTTGTGGTAGCTGGTAGCGGATTTTGAGATGACCTTGAACTCCGTCAGGTTCGGTGGGGTGTTGTTGATGTTGACGAAAAAGTTGGGAGAAGAAGCTGACAGAAAGGTTGGGAGAAGAAGCTGTGTTTTCGTGAAACACCATAGTCGACGAATGGGAGTCTGCTACTAGACTCTTTACCAGACTCCCTTGCTGGCACGGGCTTAGAAGCTTGCTCCACAAGAACCCACATCGTAGCATCGGGATGGACGGCCGGGCCGGTTTGCCTTGAAGAGCTGATTTCTTGTCGGGGTTCTGCATGCTCTTGGGTGGAGGATGAGCAGCATGTTTCCTCCGAGACCATCCTTCCGGAAGAGGCATCCGGCTGTCAGCCTTTTTTTACGCCGACTTTCACGCAGCTTGTTGATGTCTTCCTGCAGGTGGGTAAGTGCAAGCAAGGCAGCCCCTTGCCATGTTGGCTGGAAAGCTTCTCTCCCTGGCCTTCGGCTGCCCGGACGCGAGATGATAAGGATGCCCAAGAGCAGGACGGTCCAAACGCATCTCCCGCGAGTCCCACAGACCTCACACCGAGTCCCAAGCGCCGACCTCGGCAGTCCCCGTCCCCGGACACTCTGCAGTCTCCGCAGTCTCCCCGGCTCCGCTATCACAGAGCCACAGCGGCCTCGGCCTCACCGCCTTCACGGCGAGAGGCGCCCGGGAGCCGGGAGCTGCCTTGGCACACTTAAGACTTGGACTTTCGACGGCCTCCAGGCACCAAAACGCCAGCAAAGCAGTGCGGCTTGGGAGGCGCTCTCTGCCCAGGTGCCGTTCTTTCAAAGAGCAGAGGCTGCGATTCTCAGCGTGCAGCGCCTTCGGTGAAGTTTTCAGGTGCGATCCTTGGAGGCGGAGCTTTCTGCTTCGGAGTTCCAGGAGCAGAGGTGCGCTCCGCTCGGCCTGGAAACCGCTTCCCTGCCTCTCCGTTTTCAGGTCCTCGGCCGAGCACGCCGCTGCGAAGGCTTTCCCGCAGTCGGAGGGCTTCTCTGAGTGGAGGGCTCGCTGCGCCGGCAGGCAGAATGGAGCGGCTGCGTCGCGAATGCCTCAAGCCAAGAGGCTCGCGAGGCCTCGGATCGATGAGAGCATGTGAGATATGTGAGAGCCTGGCAGTTGTGAGCTGCTCTTCGGAGGAGCGGCGGCTGCAAAGCTTGAGGAGCGAGAGAGCAGAGCTGAGCTCCTTGGCACAAAGCGCAGCGATGCGCAGCTGCGCAGTGAGCCGGCTCCGACGAGGCATGGGCCTTTGTCTTTGCCATGAGAGGTGCCGAGGGCGAGCGGGAGGATGCTTTCTTCCGCCAGGAGGGCACGTGGGAGGCGAAGTCGGGGTCCAGTCTCGATCTGTTTCGCTCCAGGAGCGTGATCGTCTTCGACAACGGCTTCGCACTTTGAAGATGCAGCCGCGGGCTAAGCGCAGTCGCAAGTGCCAGTCAAAGTTCAGCGGTGTGTTCAGACGCAACGTCGTCACTCAAGATTTATCACATACAGCCGGAGCCGAGGGCTCGGCAAGCGAACCAGAAAGCCGCAGAGGTGCTGCCACTTATGATTGCAGTTGCATACTATCATATATCACTTCCAGCGTGGCTGCTCATTGAGCATGTGCGTTGAAGCGAATCCTTCATGTGGACGCACAGGCCCCTTTGGATCATCTGCAGTGCTTGGATGAGGCCGGTGTAAGGTCTTTGGCTGGTTTTGCATTCGTCATCAACTCCACGGGAAGCGCGTGGCAAACCCGTGCTTGTGCATGCATGCTCGATTAGAGCGCCGACCCCCCTCGTCCAAACACTTGGCGCCTTGGCACAAGGATTTGTGTGTGACCTTTTTTCTGTGCAATAGGCATCTCCAGCACGGATTCAGCCAAGCCAGCGTTCTTTGCCTCTGGGCTCACCGGCAGCTCGTGAATCCAAAGGCGCATTCTGCTTTGACGGAGTAGAGCGAGAGTCACAAGAAGAGTGCAGACGCATTGTTTGGGCGAGATCTCGCCAGGCCCTTGCAACCTGGGTGCATCGAACTGTCGAGGTGGGGCGGAAGTCTAGAATATGTTTAGATTGCAATTGCTTTGCATTTTGCATGTGCAAACATGGCTGAATGAGAGGCCGGGTCGACGTACAAACCGTATATGTGCACAGTCGCAGATCCTGTCGGGTCTGCCTCACAAATGTCCTTTCTTCCCATTCGATCTGCTGAGCGAAATCCCAGGGCAGCTAGGAGTTTGCCCCTTCCGTTCAAGCAGCATAAAAGCATCAACCATAAACTTGCCGACGGGCATCGGTAGCATCCTCGATCTTCCAGCACTAACCCGAAGCATCTGGTCGAATCAGTTGCCGCTCCTGAGGTGGGACCCACCCTGAGGAAACCAGGCTTCGATGCTTCCTTGCCTCGTGTTTGTGTCCCTGCTGTTTGTTTCGTCAATTTCCAATCTGACGTGCAAGGCTTCTCGGGTTTCTGCAGCACATGCACCAGCAGTGCAACTGAAGCTTTTGGCAGGCCGGCTTTGCGAGAGATCCAGGATGTGTCCGCCGGTCGACTGGAAAGGACCCGCTGGCGCTTGAGGGTTCGTGTTCAGATTGCGCTCAGTCTCTTCATCTGGGCTTGGTGCTCTGCAGGCTGCGTTCCCAGAGGGATGGTCTGCAAAAGCGAGCAGAGGAGCCATTGGCGGGATCGTGGCCCGACCCAGGGGAGCTCATGGCTTCCGCTTGTAGGAGCTGAGACACTCCTGCTTGCTGTCGGACCGCGAGTTGGCACATGCAGAGCGACTTGCTGCAGATAGTGCCGCCACTCGAGAAAGCAGCCACTGCAAGCTTTTTGCTCAAACTTGAGCTTTCCCTACAGATGATGAAAGAGATGCAGATGATGATGAAATCTTTGCTTTTGGCCTCTTTGCTCCGCTTCGCTCCTCCTAAAGCGTTTCAGCAGCTTCTGCTGTTTTCTGAGGACTTTGGAGCTGCTCCGGAGCCAAGAGGCCGAGGCTTCCAAGGCCCTGGCGGAGCAGCAGCGAGCCCTTCGCAAGGCCCCGGGGCCCCGCCATTCCGCCCCTTCCGGGTAGGGAGGCCCATGGCCATCCTGGGCCCCCCTTGAAATGCAGAGGGATTTGGGATTTTGCATTGGACGGAGCCTGTTGTCGATGATGGTCGTCGCGCCAGGCACTTGCGGGTGGGACCGGGGTCTGCAACGTGTGGTCAGTAAATAGAGGGGTCCATGCCAGAGTTTTCCTGAAGTCCAAGTAGCCTCAGGACATGTACCAGTAGAAGGAAGCCAGTGCTCTGAGAACCGTGGAGCAAGCCGTTAGACGCTTTGATGTGCAGAGGTGGAACTTGAAGCCGATGCAGCCCACCGGCATGCGGCCGAAACGCGCAAAGCGCAGCGACAGGCCCCGCTCGGCCACATCAGAGCAGAGAAGCTTTCCCTTTCCTTGCTGTGCCGTTTGCCGCGAAGTGCGATGAGCATGGGGGCCTCGGCAATGAGGTGGCGACGGAGCTCTGTGCTGCCGAAGAGCTGCTGCAGCTCCAGTCGCAGCGCCAAGAGGTCCAGGGCCTTCCGGAGATTCTGCGCAGTCGGCAGAAGGTCGGATCAGAAGTTGATTCGGGTTCAACCAATAGGAGCTGGTTGAAGTCTTCGAGCTTCATGTCAGGCCATTGCCGCATGGGTGGAAGCGGACGTCGGGATGCGTCAAGTAACCTTGGTGAAGAGACGGCTCCAGCAGATGGTGGAAGATTACGGCTACAGAGCGAAGGTTCTGGAGGCTCTTCGAGCATGCCCAATTCGATCATGTAGCTGATAGCTGATCACGTTCCCAACTTCGGAAACGAGCAGTAGTCTAAGCCACGTCATCTTCGTGCAGTTGAGGAGGTTAGACCCCCGTGCTCGATATTGATATTGAAAATCAGCTGGCACAGTGACGGTGAAGTGGCAGGTTTGCTCGTCTGCTCTACAGAAGAAACACACGCAGATACATGCATGATGCTTACTTACATATATGCATGCCTGCATGCATGATGCATGCGTCCACACATTTCCAAGGCTCTGTGTGACAACATCGGTTGGGGGTGGAAGATAGGATCGTAGCCGCGACGCTTCGCTCGGGATTGGGGTGGATGGTACGACACCCTCGTGATGTTTGCACTTTTTCGACATGCCGCCGGCTTCGAATCTCAAACGAGGCAACTGCGGCTGGCACGGAGTCGTAATTTGCGTGGATGCTTTTTTGTGGTTGCGGGAGCAGATTGCGGATAGCAGAGCTCATGATCCGCATGGTCGCCAGTGCTTGCACAGCAATATACGTAGTATAGCAACAACCACAATGAGAATGACGATCGTACTAACCGCTTGCTGTTACCGACCGACAGCCTGCCACAACTTCCATCGAGGACATTAAACTACATAAAGACAGTTTCACACAAAAGCCACGGAACACAACACAAGGGGATGGAGAATTGGAGACCAAGGTACAAACCCCAGACAACGCCACACATGCTGCCCCACTGCACAGGAAAGTGGGGGAGACAGTGACAAAGATCCCAAACAAGAATCATTTGTATGATGCTTACTTATTTCTCTACTGTGAAAGCCGCTGACTCTGCATATGGGCATTAGTGCCGGGAGTCTGCTTGTGTTTGCAGGGGGATGTGCGATGCACAGCTACGGCCGAGCATAATGCTTGTCCCTCATATTCGTTCGCAGAAAGACGACCTTCTGCTACGAGGAAAGTGAAAGTGAAAAGCATGCGTGCATACATGCGCCTCCATACATGTCGTGTAGCACACACTTGTTTGTGCGAAGTGACAACTTCATATCTCACTTAAACACCGAATCGGTCAGGGGATTGACTCACCGATTCATGTCGAATGATTGTATACTCCGTGGCCATTTTGGCGAAAGCTGTTACAGCTTGAGCGAAATTTTGTTTCAGTCCCCTCGGATCACTCCTCGGTCATAGCCGCCCGGGCGGCCAGTACCCCGAGCACTACTACGACCGCTGCTGGCGGCCAGTACCTCGAGCACTACGGCTTCTCTGTCAGTTGTTGACAGTCTGAAGGAATCGCTCGAGGAATTCAGCCGCGAGCAAGTTCTCGAAGATTTTCAAGTCGAGAAACCCGAGGATGTGACGTGGGGAGCTTGGAACAAGCGACAATCCCGACAGATACGAAAGGCACTCGATCATATCGCCCAGTGTCAGACGGCGAACGACATTGTCAATCTTGCGGCGACTTTGTTGAAACCGCCCAACCTCGAGGCCTTCCTGTACCTGCACATCACCAACCGCGACGAGTCCGCGGAGCCGCTGACGGTGCCGTTCGAGATCGTCGAGGCTTCCCTACACCCCGACTCCGATCATGCACCCCTACCAGCTGACACCGACGCTGCTCTTCTTGTGCATGAGACCGATCTGCATAATCAGCATTTGGCAGACATTTTTCGTGATGATTTCGGCATGGAATTACATACTCCCGAACCCGCTGCCTCTAAAGCTCGAAAGCGGAACTTCGAAGGGCATCTCAAGCCCACTACTTCGATTACCATCGATTTGGACTAGCCAATTCGTAGCCATGGCACGTACCCGAGCCGACTCATGGTTCGATTTTCTCTGCGAGGGCACGTTGGTGAAGATGACGGCCCCTGTTCCAGAGTCGATGCTTAACGAGTACCCCGAAGTAGTCAGCGACACGGCCCAAGTCCCCATCTCCGAGATACGACGACAGCTTTGTCCCCGCCTTCTCGAGAAGAAGAACTGTAACATGGCCAATTGTGGTTTTCTTCACCCCGATTTCCTCAACAAACAGTGGGTAGTGCCCAACCTCATATGCCACAAATGGTTCCAGGGATGCTGCGAGTACCACAATACGTGCTGGAATCAACATGGCCACACGTTCGACGAAGCTATGCGACAGGCTTTCGTAGTACAGCGACAGAATCGTCGAGGTGAACCACCTTACCATTACTCGTCGAAGAACGGAATCATCGAGCAGGTCAACCGAGCACAGGCTCGTGAGTGGATCATGGACTCGATGACCACTTTCCGTTCCGCCGAGATGCGCAAGTTCAACTTTGGCACAAACTTCCTTCGGTACTACGACTACGAATCGTGGGATAAATCTGATGTTGCCCAACAACTACGACAAGAAATCGCGGATGGCCTGCATCGTCGAGGACGCTCTCCCCGTAGAGTTCGCGAGGAATCGAGACCTCCGGCGACCTGGGGACAACACCCCACTCCGACACGGGGAGCGATTTTCCCGACTTCGAGACCCCGATGGCCCCCTTCAGCGGCTCCCTCGTCAGCCCCTTCTACAGCAGCCCCATCGACAGCACCTCCGGCAGCGTTCCCATCGGCGGCACCTTCGACTACGCCGACTCCGCCGACACCAAGGAGAACTTTCTTCCAGGTCAGCACGGATACGGACTCCGATGCACCCAGCTTCGGCCGTGAACCCCGAACTGCTTTCCGCCACGGCGATGGAGCAGCCAGGGGATCACAACGACCGCTTTCTCCGGCGAGATTCCCGAAGAGATCCCCGTCACCGGCGAAGAGATGGCTCGACTCTAAGACCCCGGTGATCGTCGAAATCCCGGATGAGATCGCCGCTTCGACACCAGCCACGACTCCGGCGGCCCCACCGACTACCACGACACCGCAGACGAGGCCGAGGTCGCCAGATCCTTGGCACGAGGACGATGATTCCGCGACACCACCACCGACTCCTCCGACCGTGGTTACTACAGCCAACCCTGCGACATCGATGAACCCAAGGAGCTCTGGGCCGGTGGCCAATTCCGCGAGTGAATCCGAGTGGATCAACCCATCCTTTGGGGCTGCCGCTACTACGACTCTCGTGAGCACTAAGACCAAGGCCATGCCCAAACGACCACACCCCGACGCCGACAGCTCCGCGGGGTTTGGAAAGGTCGTGCCTCCGAGATTCTCCGTCCACCCTGCTGTGGACTTGACACGAAATGACCCGAGGCAAGTCTTACGGCCAGATACCAACGAGTCGGGGGCGGCCTCTTCCTCGACTATCACGACCTCCTTGGGGAATCCTTACACGAGTGTACCGGTCGCGGTTCAGCCACAACCACCACGACAGTCATGCCTCGAGAGATTCCGAGTGCAGTGGCGCGACTCGCAGGTGGTGGAGAAGGGGCGCACTTCGATCGACGATGTCCGATCCAATGCACCGTCATCACACGAGCCAGTGTTTGGCTTTCAAACACTGCGCCACTTCGACAACTTCCCGATGATGTCGGCGAATTTGCAAGCGATGACGCCGGTGGGTGGCCACAATGTCGCGATGTTGCCACCTGGCAATCACCCCTACTCCTCCTTCGCCTTCGACACTCCATGGGAGATCACATACGATGGCATCATCTACATCGAACAGGTACTCCGATGCCCTACTTTCGGGAGCTACCTCACCCAATACGGCCTTTACATCGACCTCCCGATCCACACCCCGCAAGACGACGTACTGCAGGAACGGGTGTTGCTCCTGGGTGTCCCGAATAACTTCGTGGAACCCCGGACTACCTTGATCTACTCGATGGTGTGGCACAGCATCACCGCCTCTCTCTCCGACCTGAACCATACTTCGGTGGAAGATCGGATGAACCGACTCCGAATTTGGTGCCACACGGCGAGGAATCTCAACACCTTCGCGGCGCAGATGCCATACTTCGAGCCCATGCAGACCTTCTTTCGGGAGCAGGCCTCGGCGATCCTTTCATGCACTTCGAATATGCTCTCACCGGCGATGCGAAGTGCCTTCGCCCAACACGAGCGAATGCGATCGATGATCGCCGCGGAGCCGCCGGCTTTCATCCTGCGATTCCGCGAGAATGCGTGAGCCTTTACACGAGGCCTACCCGACCTTTAGGTCTCACGGTCGCCCCGTTTCCGCCTCGGCGATGTACGGGTGTTTCCGGGTCAGTGACCGTTTCGGTAGAAGGGGACTTCCGCCTCGGCGATGCGTCCACCTGACCCGTAGGTCTCAACCCCCCGAATGACTCGTTACATACGACGACAAGACCAAATGTGCTTGCCTGTAGGACATGTTACTCGGTTGCATCAGGCTCTACTAGTTGTAGTGGGGCCTGCTCTCTCCTTGGAGATTGCTTGGCTTCCGTAGACTTCGACCTCTCAAGCTCGACTCGTGTTACCCGAACCTCCCGATCCACCCGAAGTGATGGCACACTCTCGCCAGTCCCCGATTGAGTCGGATCCGATTGAACAGTTCCCCGAGACATCGGCGACTCAGCTCGATCCCATCGAGCAGTTTTCCCAAATGCCCGGCAGCAGCTCCGGAGCAGTTTTGCCGGCCGCTCGATACCTCGAGGGAGTCCACCCGGACACCGACGAGGGCCGAGCACTGAAATTACAACGAAGGCTCTACGATGACCATCACACCCAGGGAGCCTTGGAGGTCATCGCTTTCAGACGAGCCTCCGAACAGCTCGCGATGTCATCACTACGAAAGCAGTTCCCGAACTCGACAGACTCCGAGCTGGCGGCGATTTGGCGCCGACAACTTACCGGCGAGGAGGTCGACGAGAACGGCATGCCCATCGAGCTCATTGGTCGCGATGGGACATCGATCGAAGATCACCACAAACGCGATGTCGACCGAGTCGAGATGTACCTCAAGTACTTCAGCACTCCGGCCAACGACAAGCTCCACGATGGATCCATCGATTGCACCTTTTGTGGTCTGCTGTTTCCGCCTTACTATCTCCTCTCGGTTAACCCCGACG